TCACGCGTGACTACTTAATCATAGAATGGCCTAGGTTGGCAGGTACCTTAGAGATCATCTAATCCAACCTCCTCGCCTCCTCTCAACTAGACCAGGTTACTCAAGGCCTCATCCAACCTGGCCTTGAACACCTCAAGGGAGGGGGCATCCACAACTTCTCTGGACAATTCATTCCAGAGTCTTACCATCCTTGTACTGAAGAATTTTTTCCTAAGATCCAATCTAAATCTGTTTTCCTTTAACTTAAATCCATTTCCCCTTGTCCTATTGGTGGACACTTTTTACAAAAGTCCCTCCCCAGTCTTCCTGTAGGTTCTTTTCAGGTCCCCCTGGAGTCTTCTCTTTTCAAGGCTAAACAATCCCACTTCCCTCAGCCTATCATTATAGCAGAGGTGCTCCAGGCCCTGGATCATCTTTGTGGTTCTCCTCTGAACTCGTTCCAACAAATTTATGCCTTTTATGGTGGGGACACCAGAACTGAATGCAGTATTCGAAGTGGAGTCTCACAAGAACAGAGTAAAAGGGGAGAATCACCTCTCTTGATCTCTTGGTCTCCTGGCCACACTCCTCTTGATACATCCCAGGACACGGTTGGCCTTCTGGACTGCATGAGTGCACTGCCGGCTCATGTTGAGCTTCTCACCTGTCAACACCTCCCAAGTCCTCTTCAGGGCTACTCTTAACCCACTCTGTGCCCAGTTTGTATTTGTGCCTGGAATTGGCCTGACCCAGGTGCAGGACCTTGCATTTTGACTTGTTGAAGCTCATGCAGTTTGCACTGGCCCATTTCTCAAGCCTGTCAAGGTCCCTCTGGATGGCATCTCTTCCCTCAAGTGAGTCCACCACACCACACAGCTTGGTGTCGTCGGCAAACTTACTGAGGGTGCATTCACAAAGATGCATCACTGACAAAGATGTTGAACAGCACTGGACCTAGAACAGACCCCTGAGGAACAACACTTGTCATTGGTTTCCATGTGGACCTTGAGCCGTTGACCACAGCTCTTTGAGTAAAACCTTCTAGCCAGTTCTTTATCCACCAAGTGGTCCATCCATCCAGCCCATGTCTCTCCATCTTAGAGACAAGGATGTCATGTGGGACAGTGTCAAATGCCTTGCAGAATTCCAGGTAAATGACATCAGTTGCTTTCCCCATGTGAACCAGCGCTGTAGCTTTGTCATAGAAGGCCACCAAATTAGTCAGGCATGATTTGCCTTTAGTGAAGCCATTTTGGCTGTCACTAGTCACCTCATTATTTTTCATGTGCCTTAGTACAGCTATTGGGAGGATCTGTTCCGGACATGAGGCTATAGTTCCCTGGGTTTTCTTTGCTTCCTTTTTTTTTAAAGATGTTTTCCCTTTTCCAGTCTGTGGGAACCTCACCAGACTGCCATGACTTGTCAGATATGATGGCTAGTGGCCTAGCAACTTCGGCTGCCCGTTCTTTCAGAACCCCTGGTTGTATCTCATCAAGTCCCATGGACTTGTGCACTTGTGATCCTGGGCAGTTAGCTTTGTAATACCCAAAGCTGTTGACTGAATTAAGAAGGTAGCAATGCAAAGACGCAGTCCTGGGATTCTTTCTTCACCTATTTGATATGTGGGGTCTTCAGAAAAACCAGGTGTAATGTGTTCATACTTGCTGCTGCGGGAGACATATATACACCCATCTATCCGTCCACGTAGATAAATGTGGCATATATATGTTTACATGTATAGCATATATATATGTGGTACACAGATGTAGCAAAATTTGTAGAAATTAAAATAGCTCTGTTAGCCATTTTATAAAAGGGCTGACCAAATCTCGTCATACCTTATGCCTTCCTGCATGCAGAGCTTCATGCCTCTGTTTACAATATGCCTCTATCTTATATAAATCGCTGTTGTATGTACATTACTAATGTGTAGATGCATTGCTGTTTTTTATTTCAGTTATTTATTTTGAGTTTGAATCCACAAAGCCAGTCATATATTATTCAGCCAATACTGTAGACTTAGGGAGATAACAGGCCTTCAAAACAATTTTTCTTAGCTAAAAAGTCCCTATTTCATTACCAGTATCTGAGGATTTTCGTAATAATATTGCCTTTTATGACTCACAAGGCACTAGGGTATAACTATAGTTGAGATACAGTGTTTCTGTAGTATGAGGGGAGACCTCATCGCTCTCTACAACTATCTGAAGGGAGGTTATAGAGAGGCAAGGGCTGGTCTGTTCTCCCTAGTGGAGAGGGATAAGACAAGGAGAAATGGATTTAAATTGTGCCAGGGGAGGTTCAGGTTCGATATTAGGAAAAATTTCTATACTGAGAGGGCTGTCAGCCATTGGAACAGGCTGCCCAGGGAGGTGGTTGAGTCACCGTCCCTGGAGGTGTTTAAGAGACGGGTGGATGTTGCGTTGGAGGGAATCGTTTAGTAGGTTGACAGGGCTGGGACAAAGGCTGAACCCAATGATATTCTAGGTCTCTTCCAGCTGATACAATTCTGTGATCCTTTATAGGAGTCTTATTTTAGCAAGATATTTCAGGAGGATGGAATGATTATGCCTGCCGAAATGCTGCTGAGGAGATTTAATGTCAGTGGACCCAAGGACCCTGGCTTGTCTGAGGTTTATGCAAGAGTATGGTTTAGTGGCTTTCTGAAGTGTGAGATGGCTTTATCTGCATGTCTGTCAGTTATAAGCAGGTGGTATATTCTGTCTTACAAATGCCTTTCTTTTACAGGTTCACTTAAATTCTTATTTTTGCAATACAGAAATATTGTCAAAAAAAGACATTTATGAGCTGTAGCTAGCATTCTTCACCTATTTGAGTGTCAGCAGCGATGACTTAAAACATAGTATTTATGTTTTGGCTTTTGTGTGCAGACAATTCTTATACTCTATTTCAACAGGTACCGTCGTAGTTTGGACTCTGATGTCACAGCTGCCTTGGTGGCCTATCATGTATGGCCTGCTCTGATGGAAAATGACATTGTAATTGTGAAGGGAGAGGCAGTCACAAAAAGAGGAGCTCTGGTATGTACTTTTGTTAAGGAACATGTTAAAGGAAGTAATTGGATGAAAACACTAGTTTAAAATTTAAAAGATAAACTCTTGATTGTTCCCAATATGGCGGGAATTGTGTGTATCAAATACCAGTTAGGTTTTAGTGCCTCATCCTGTTCTTAGAAAGAACAGTTCCACTTGCCTTATTGTATTCATTATGCAGATGCATAATTGTTGGAAGAGCCTGTTCTAAGGAGCAAGTTTGCTGTGTTTACTGTCTGTCCTCCAGCCTTGCCTCCAGCAGCTGAGTCTGTCTTTATTACGTACCCTCTCTCACAAGAGGTTTGTCAAACACTTCTCTTGCAGCGGCCTTATCGAAGCAGAAGCAGAAACCGCAGCCGTAGTGCCAGTCCTCTTCGCTCTTGTCACATAAGCTCCAGCTGAATGCTTGTAGTATAAACAACATGAAGTATTTTAAACTCCCAAGGCAACCTTTTATTAAGGATGATGTGCCAGATGTACATTTTAACAGTGGGAATAAATGCCTTTCTTTCTTGGGTCTGGAATGAGGTGAAGCTGAGCTGACAGATAGTTATCGCCTGGTATAATTATCAGTGGAGAAACTGTGTAAGAGATAGATCATAGTTAAAGTCTGAGAAGAATCAACTGTGGACCTCAGAATGCTTTTCCTCTACTCCCCTTTGCTTCAGTACCCTTCTGAATAACTAATTGCATCATCTGGAAGTGTTTTAGTCATCTTGCAGTACATACACAGCACATGGTCCCTGCCTCCTGGAATTAGAAATCTAAATTTACCTTCTGATGCCTCAAAGGAGAAGAAAATCATTGTTAGGGTGGGCAGGAGGGGAAGAACTGAAGGGAGAGTCAGGTATGTGAAACCTTAGTGGAGTTCTGCCTATAGCATAGCTACACAATATTTTTAATTATTTCTGTTAAAATAATATATATTTTTCTAATTGTTGGCACATCTTTTTGATGGTGACAAAGGTGAGCTTAGCTTAAAACGTGTAGGTCAAAAATGTGAGATGCTTTGGGTAAGGGTCACTTTTTTGTGTGTGAAGAAAAAAGGTAGAAAGTTGTTAAATTTGATTTTGTATCAGTGGAGCTGAACTGATAGATGCATGCAAATTTTCTGAATGTTGGTGGGTCCCCAGGTGCCTCCTTGGGCACAGTTCTCTAACACACCTGAATTTCCTTTTTTGCTTGTCTTGCAGTTGTCTCGAAGCCGCAGCCCTTCACCACTGAGGAGCAGAAGCCCACGTAAGTGGGCATATTAGTTCATAATGACTCATGATTTTCACAATAAGTCCTTGAATGATTGAGTAAAGAGACAAAATAACAGGCTGAAGGTCTTTGACTCTAAAGTACTTGTACAAGTCTTATTTTAAGATGGGTAGCCCCTTTCTTTTCTGCATGTGGGAAAAGGCTGAAATTTCTGACTTGTTTTTCAAGGAGAGCTTGTTTTTCACTCTACTCAGGCCACTGTCATGAGTTCTCTCTGCTGGTTGCCTTTTTTGTGACCAGTTTTATAATAAGGAAAACTTGTTCTCTTTCCAATGCAAGAGCCAGTTAGCTGCATGGCTGCTGGCACCATCCCTTTCAAAATCCAAAGAGAGAGTTGAGTGGTGATGGTAAAATGAGATTTCAAACATTATGAATGTGTGCCCATCGTGAAGTCAAATCGATGTAGAGATTTAGGGGAAAAAAAAAATGGTTGTACTGAAATGTGTCATCTTCTTCAACAGGACGTTAACTGAACATGTTCCTGTGATTCAGTACATCTGGATCCAACAACTTCACTGGTGCCTTTCTTCTTCAAGAATACCTCAAATCTTGAAATAACGTGAATGGCAACTGTCGCGCCAAATGGCATTTGTGTTCAGTGTGGTCTTTACAACTATAGAAGGCTTATTTATAATTTTAGAAACTAATTTAACCCTTCTGATAATTTTATTTTAAAAAAATGTGCATGCAATAGAGGATTGTACTCATTTGGCAAAATTTGCAGAGAACTGAGGAACCCATGAAGTGATCCTGCAAGTGGAGGTAGAATTATTGCATTTAGAGTGTTTTCCAAAGACACCAAACGATACAGTTTATTTTGATATGATATCTAATATAACTTAAATGATGAATGTTACAGAATGTTGAGGTTAGCTGTTACTGGAAAACAGTTTCATTAGTTGGTGCTTATTTACAATCATAGAAAATAACAATAGACTTAGGATGTGCCAGTCTCACACAGCATCCTTTTAAGTGCATCCTTGCAGTAAACTGAATTTTCTAACTACAATGCAAAAGTTGCACCGAATAGTGATAAACTACCAATACTCCAAGAATGCCTAGGACTGTATTGACACTTACAAAAGCACAGCTGTGTGCTTTAGCAAGGCGGTAATAATCCTTGTTAAATTCATTGCTACTTAGGAATGAGTATGACAGAATCGTAGAACAGAATCATAGAATCATTTTGGCTTGAGAAGACCTTTAAGATCATCAAGCTCAACCATTATGTAACTCTGCTAGCCCCACTTCTAAACCATGTCCCTGAGTACCATGTTTAGGTGGCTTTTAAACACATCCAAGGGTGCTGATTCAGCCACTTCCCTGGGCAGCCTGTTCCAGTCTTTGATAACGCTTTCAGTGTAGAAGTTTTTCTTAATGTCTAACCCAAAACCTCCTCTGGTATTACTTGACACTGTTTCCTCTTGCCCTATCATTTGTAACCTGGGAGAAGACACTGACACCCACTACGCTACAACCTCCTTTCAGGTAGCTGTAGAGGTTTCCCTCTCAGAATCCTTTTCTTAAAACTAAAAAACTGCAGTTCTCTCAGCTGCTAAGATGTGCTCTACACTCTTCACCGGCTTCATTGCCCTTTTCTGGACCTGCTCCAGTGCCTCAATGTCTTATACTGCAGCATCTGAAACAGAACACAGTATTCAAGCTGTGACCTCGCCAGTGCTGAGTACGGTGAGACCATCACTTCCTGGGTCCTGCTGGCCATGGTTTTTTTTCATACAGATCTGGATGCTGTTGATCTTGGCTGCTTGGGCACACTGCTGGCTCATGTTCAGCTGGCTGTTGACTGGCAACCTCATGTCTTTTTCCACAGGGCAGCTCTCCAGCCACTTTTCCCAAAGGCTGTAGCACTACCTGAGATTGCCATGACCAAAGTGCAGGACTTGGCAATTGGTCTTGTTGAAGCTCATACAGTGGGCCTCAGCTCGTTGATCCCGCCTATCCAGGTCCTTCTGCAGAGTATTCCTGCCCTCAAGCAGATCAGCACTCCCACCTAAGGCAGTGTCATCCCCAAACTTACTGAGAGTGTTCTCGATTTCCTCATCAAGATCATTGATAAAGATATTAAACAGGCCTGGCCCCAACACTGAGCCCTGGGGAACACCACTTGTAGCTGTCTGCCGACTGGGTTTAACTCCATTCACCATAACCGTCTGGGCCTGGTTATCCAGCCAGTGTTTGATCCAGCAGGATATATGCCTATTCAAGCCTTGGGCAGCCAGGTTTTTTTCCTGAAAATGCTGTGGGGAACAGTATTGGAGGCTTTACTAAAGTCTACGTAAACAACATCCGGAGCCTTTCCCTTGTCCACCAGGCAGGTGACCCTGTCAGAGGTCAGGTTTGTTAAGCAGGACCTGCCCTTTGTGAACCAATGCTGACTGGACCCGATTACCTTGTTGTCCTGTAAATGGTGTGCAATGTCAGACAAGATGATTTGTTCCATGACCTTCCCTGCCACTGAGGTCAGACTGACAGGTCTGTAGTTCTCTGGAGCCCTTCTGGTAGATGGGTGTCACATTTGCTTATCTCCAGTCCATTTAGGCCTCCAACTGTTACATCTCCTACCAGTCCTTCTCACTTAACAAGCAGCAAGTCCAGGAGGGCACCTTCTCTAGTTGGCTTCCTCACCACTGTGTCAGCAAATATGCCATAAAAACATGTATTTTGAAACTTAAAGTATGCCACTGGCTTTTTATAAGGATTGAAATGTTTTCTTGGTGGCCTTTTCATATCACTTTTAATGGACTTTCATACCAGACTGATAGATCAGTAATTCTTATGAACTCAGGGAAAAAAACCTGTCCAGTTATCTCTTACTGTGTATGTTTATTTCATTTGAAGTGTGAAAATTTGAGAGCTGAAGAGATTTTGTCCTGGCACTTTAAATAGTTTGTTCCCCTTCTAAATGTTTATTTTACTATCAGCATTTTTGGTTTTAGGAGAACTGATACTCTCTTTCTCTTAAAACATCATCTGTAGGGCCAGCCTTAAATAGAAGCCACACAAATGACTGCTTGGGGCCTTGTGCTTATACATAGAAACATAGGATTTGTAGTAATGATGATGATGTGTAATTCACCAAGTTCACTGTCTCATTCCATTCAGTATCTGATGCTTCACAGGTATGTGGAGCTTTCTCCAAATTCATCTCCACAGTTTTGGAATATAAACAATGAGAAGCAGGAAAAATTCCTTTTTGTCTTCCTCTTTTAACCAACCTATGCCCTGGAACATGACATTTCATTCATGCTACTGTAAGAGCATGACCAAAAATATTTTTATTAGTTTTTATTAGTCCTTAATAAAAGCAGATTTTGTGATCTCTTTCCAGGGATTTTATGGAGATTCAAATGTCCAGGTTCTTTCTCTCTGCTTCTTGTGTGGCTTGAGGCTAGCATGAGGCTCTCTGGGACAGGATCACATTTCAGGCAGAGTTTAGCATCGGTCCCCATGAGCCCGGGATCAGCTGTGACTTTAGTTCTACAGATGTATTTTCATTGGAATTAAGCCCATCAATAACTGATGAGAGCAAAATGAGGTCCTGTACATAGTCACTCACAGAGCCGCTCTGAATTCAGGCACCACAAAAGCACACACAAGTGGGAGGTGTACTTTCTTGTTATCTAAGAAAATCACAAGAGAAAATGCAAAACCATAGATTTCCTCTTCAGATAGCCTGATTGTTGGTTATAGCTATGGATCCAAGGTCAAAGTAAACATGCGTATTTCTGCACTGATCTCATGACTTAAACCACCACAATTCTGGAAAAACCAAACAACTGGAACTTGTGTGGTGACAGAAGACAGTTAAAGTATCCTTGAGTATGGTTTTGAGAAAAAAAATCAAGAATTTATCAGAAATTTGTAATTACCAAAGGCTAAGGAGATTTAGTTTTTAAAAAAATTAGATGTTCATTTTTCTTCTGCATGTAATTACCAAGACGTGTCTGTTCTATGCTTTTGAGCTGAAGTAAATTTCCATACCAGCTATGAGGGAACTGCGACTACATCAAGGAAGTATTTTCTTCACAGAGTGTCGGGTTGGAAGGGACCTCAAAAGATCATCTAGTCCAGCCCCCCTGCCAGAGCAGGATCACCTACAGTAGGTCACACAGGGACATATCCAGGCAGATTTTGAATGTCTTCAAGGAAGGAGACTCCACATCCTCCCTGGGCAGCCTGTGCCAGTGCTCTGTCACCCTCACAGGGAAAAACGTTTTCCTAATGTTTTTGTGGAACCTCGTGTGTTCCAGCTTGAACCCATTGCCCCTTGTCCTGTCACTGGACATCACTGAAAAGAGCCTGGCTCTGTCCTCCTGACACTCCCCCTTGACATATTTATAAACATTGATGAGGTCACCCCTCAGCCTCCTCTTCTCCAAGCCAAAGAGACACAGCCCCTTCAGCCTTTCCTCATAAGGGAGATGTTCCACTCCCTTGAGCATCTTTGTGGCTCTGCGCTGGACTCTCTCAAGCAGTTCCCTCTCTCTCTTGAGCTGAGGGGCCCAGAACTGGACACAATATTCCAGATGTGGCCTCACCAGGGCAGAGTAGAGTAGATGTGAGAGACAGGGTAGTTCCAGGCTTGCATACACCCATGATGCCACTAGGAACTGATATTCCCAAAGATCTAGAATTGCCATGAAAGACAACTTGGCAGTGCTTTGTGGACCATCTCATTTTACTCCCCCAGCAGGTACCGAGAGAACTAGTCATTCTCAAAGTAAAAGAGAAAATTAATGACAGACAATGACTTGTCTTGGTAGTGAGAAAGCAGCTCTAGATTTTATTTTTAATTTTTCTTTTGCATACTGTTTCAGAGCAGAGCAAACCATTTTCAGCAAAATGGGAAGTCAGTCCACAGCATAGTAACGCTTAATTAAACAAACCTTGTTCTACTCAGTTGTACTCTGCAGCCCATACTGTTTTTATAGGGATATCTGATTTTGTACTGGTTGCCTGCACATCTTATTTATAGCCAATTAAATCTGTAGATCAGATAGAAGATTGCTTTTGATATCAGGTTAGACAACAGCAGCTCCTGTGTTGCTTTTTATCCACATGATAACAGTGCAGAATGATGTGTACCCATAAGGATTATAGGAAATTAAACAGCAAATGCAAAATAACTTATAAAAAAGGACTCCTGTAATTGCTTGTAAGACCCTGAAAAAGGATGGATCATGAATGGAAGCTTGTTGACATGATATTTTACTTAAGATTTTTAAAACTTTTACTAAGATGATTTTTTTTTTCTCTAAATCACAAACCTGGATAATACTCTACTTGTAAATACAGCAAAGCAGAAAGAGTAAGGGTGGATTCTAATAGGTGACAAATATAAAAAAAAATAAATCTCGTAAGGCTTCTGTTACAAGATAACTTTAGAACAGTATGTTCATAATCAAAATATTAATACCAGGCTAGATTTTGAATTAATCTGAGCTCTTTGCAGACAATCTGGTGAAAGTGACTGCACAGGGTGTAAAAAAGCACCACCTTTGGGCCAAGGTGTTCAAGTAGAACAGCACATATTTGTGAGGGATTTTGAGATTGCTGGAGAATTTCTCCTGCATGACAGCTCTCTGAAGGCTGATTATGTCTGTCTTAATTCAGAGGCTGTCCTGGAGTCAGTCTAAATGTGTGAATGTTTTATCACCTATTGCTGAGAAATACAATGTCGTCCAAATATCTTTAGTCTTCCTTCTTCAATGTTTGCAGCTCAATAACAAAGACTTAGTTAGCAGTTACTGAGGGTAAATGGCTCAGCTAAGTTTGCTGCCACACAACAAAGATGTAAATTTGGAAATTTCTCAGATTCTCCAAGCACCCTCATATAGATAGGAGAAAGCAAATTGGGAATAGGAGGTTGGTGGAGTCCTCCCATCTAGTCTCGCTGGCAATGAGCTGTGGTGCTGATTCACTCTTGTAGGAGGCCTGAGATGAGTGGTAAATTAAAGCAAAAATAATCTCAGCTTGAAGAAAGTAAATGTGAAGGTCAAAAATTATCAAACTGCTCTCTGGAAAAGACATGCCTGTACATCCTCCAGAATCTGAGCCTTCTAACTTTACTTTCATATTGCATGTATATACCGCAAAAGTTTGTCAGCCTGTAAGTGTCATCAGAACTAAATACTTTCATCGTTACGTAACCTTTGTCAGCCCCTTCTGATTGTTACCTGCACGATGATTTTCTTACTGTAGCATGAAATAGTCTAGCTTTGTATTAAAGAAATGAAATCTGTTTGTTATGGCTTGCAGCTACCTTAGCATGTGCTCAGATTGCATGTCTTAAGTTTCAAGACTATTGAATTTCTTTTAGTCATGCAGCACACTAAGCAAGTATATTAAAGAAATGTACGTCTCATTTTATGCAGCTTTATAACACATGTAAGTAAACCTCCCAGGCTCTTGCTGATATACAGATGATTGTTTATGTGGAAGCTATAGCTTTCACTTGCTAGAGCACAAACATAGAGCACTTGGTGTCATTTTACTGTTAGATGAAGGCGTGAGCACAAATGAGGTGGGTGGTGTATTTCTACTTTCTTATGGCTTTGAGAAGGTGACCCTTCTGCCTTGCAGAAATGCAGTTGTCAAAGTAACGTTACCCTCTTGAAAGTAAAATGTCAGCATAAAGATGCTATTTATCGCTGTTGTTAGTGTTACTTCCTGTGAAACTGTTGGTTTTTTTTCCAAAGGGCTTTGGCCTGCATTCAAAGTTCTTTCTTTTAAAAGAAAAGAATTTGTAAAGAGAGATCATTTTAGGCTAATTCCGTGTCTTCACAGTAGCTGGCATTTAGCCTTTTACATTAGAGGACTATAACGAATTGCAAGCAGATCCTACACCTTGGTAAACTGCATTCAGGACCTTCAGTGAAAACCTGCCTCTGTGCTGATGATACGTGCATCCCCAGAACAGCATGGACAAGACAAACATTTATTATTTCATAACATTACCCAGTATTCACAGAAACCATTTTGCCCGATGAACTTC